CCTGGGACACATTTCTGCCCCTGGGGACACATATCTGAAGTTTTACTGCAATGCTCACTGCGCATATCCATGTTGGGCACCCAGCTGGGACTGTCTGTGTGTTAGTATCTCGTGCATCTGCCCAGCCACCCAGCCAGGAAACAGTAGTATCTTAATGTTACAGGTGAGTAAACTGAGGTTAAGAGAGTTGAGTTGAGCTGAATTCGGGCTTGAGGTCTCACCCAAATCTGTTCCTCTCATCCACTCAGTGGGGAAAGGACACTTAGAAGAACACAAGGCTGCAGTGAGGCCTATTATGGGTTTTTCTCTGACGGAGAAGCTGTGGGCAATAGGATAGATCCATGGGTGGACAGGTCTGGATGCAGATGGTGGCGAGACCACCGGGGAGACCCTGGACAAGACCACTTCTCTCACTCTAAACTCTCTTTAAACATGGGGTGTCCGGGCTCACTAGGACAGGACAGGTCCCGGGGCGCCATCACCGGGGCTCCTTCTGGGAAGTTCCCAGTGTCCAGGCTCTATGGCCAAAGGGCTGGCTCTGGAAAATGTTCACAACCGGGTTGCCTGTGCTCATTTCTCCTCTTAACTCCCAGGAATGGTGTTCATTTCCAGCCATTGCCAGAAAACCTTATTTTCCCTGTTGCTTCCACATCCTGGTGACAGTGGTCTCCAGAACACAGAATGGATTCTTTCTTGCAACTGGATTGTTTGAAATAGGAAGACCTTTTTCAAATTCCTGGTGAGAGTCCAGGTGGTTCCAGTGACCCACTGGTCAACCTTCTAGAGGCTGGAGAGATGGCAATGGACAGAACCAAAATCCCTGCCCTCTTATGCTTGCTGGGACCAGGTCTCTAAGTTTGTCAACATCTGACCTGTATGCTCTCTTGGAGTCTGGTGAGGGGTGAATGTATAAATTCATCTGTAAATTACATACATTTGTCAATTGATCTGAAACCCGCCAAAATAAGCTTAGCTCCTCAGGAGTTCCAGTGATGGACTGTGTGGCCAGACCACCTCAATCTGTGAGGTGCATGGGTGCTCCCCAGCCCCTGTTCCCTGCAGATCCTAGTGCGGAGGGCTAAAGAACCTGCATTTCTAGCAAAGCTGGATGCTGCGGGTCCAGTGGCCTTACTTTGAGTATCCAGGGCTTAAATGATACTGCAGATCCTCCCACCGGATGTAATGTCAAACTTTCTTTGATATTTTGAAGACACAAAGGAAAATGTAACTAGAGTATTTTGGTTGTTTCCATTTTTGGACAGGGCTCAGGTTCCACTTGTCGGGTCTGTAAGTTTTAAGTGACCGGAAACAGCTTTCTCATCTGCAAACAGAGACTTGTCCAAGCTCTCATGGACTCGGGCATCTTAATGAATCATTTTTTTTTTTTTAAAGCAAGGTATACTTTTTTTTTTTTCCTTAATGAATTATTTTAATCTGACATTTTTAGTTAGGCAGGCTTGTCCCTGGGAAATTGGCAAAGTCCTGAAATTTCATTGTTAGGTCTTAGTTGATCCTGAACAATGAGGGAATATGGTGCAATCTCACTCAGATGAAAATCTCCTTGTAGCTTTTGACCCCTCCCAAAACCTAACTACTAATTGCCTGCTGTGGACAAGAGCTTTAATGGTAACATTGAATAGCTGATGAACAATTAGATACTTTATATCATCTGTTCAAAATACCCTCACCTAACTGGACCCCAAGCAGTTCAAGGATCAGACATCCATCCTGTCTCTTGAGCAAATATATGATGAGCAAACAACCACGGAACGCTCACTATGTATAGGGCAACCACTGCGCATGCCTCCTCTTGGGTGGTCTTTACAAGTCTGTGATGTACAATTCAAGTATTTTCTCTAAACAACTAACACAAACATGACCATACCTGAAACAGGACACACAGCACGTCCGCTGTCCAAGGGCATGTGTTTTAAAAGTGGGGACAACTAGACCGTACCAGGTCTGACTTCTAGATCCAAATTCTTGGAGATTTTTAAATGACTAAAGTAATGGACAGTTATGTTATCAAAACAGATGCAGAGACGTGACAAAGGTTAAATTGCTCAGTTCTTTATTAAGTCTGTTAACAAGGTACTCCCCGATCCTGGGTTAAATTGAGGTTTTTCACTGTGAACTATGGCAAACAATGTGAAAGCAAATTGATCTCGCCACCATGTACAATGGTTCATCTTCAGGGTCTAAAGTAGAATTACATTTCTCCACTTTGCTCATAATTAATTTCCTGGAATTACACTGTGTGAGTGTGTGTTGGAGGGTGGGGTGGGGGGACGTTGGTAAAGGAGGTCCTTTGGTCTTTCAGAAGGTGGAAGACTCGTAGCCAAAACTAGAAATATATTTTCTGTAAAGTCACGATACAAAAATGCTCTTCCTGAGGTGTGAACCTATTCCCCTCAATCATAATCAGTGTTTTAAACGAGTATTAACTAACTGTATTAACTTAGTATTACTAAAAATAAACAACAATACTCTTTAGGAGTAACTGATGGCACCCAGGTACTAAGTTTGAATGGAAGGTTCTATTGACTGTAACATAAAAATTGCATCATCCTTTACATACAGATGAGAGAGAATTTACTTTCAGTCTGAGTTTATTTAACATTTCATCCAGTTGAAATGAAAACAACACAGATTCCAATACTGGCAAGACACTAATACTGAAATAAAAACTGCCAGTCAGTAAACGCTTGCAGTCGTGATTCTTGATCGTGGGAATAGAAATATTAATAATTACCTTTACAAGCTTATTGCACTTTATTTGGACTTTTCTCCAGAAAAGGTATTTCTAAGAGATCAGCAAAGATTGCCAATCTTGGTTCTTTTGTTCTTTTTTTTTTATACACCATGATTAAACTATACAGCTATTACTTCTATATTAAAGCAGCAAGAGTCAGAGGCATCAGGAAATATTAAAAAGACACATCTCCATGTTCACTGTCCTTTTTATGACAGTGCTGTGATCCTATCTTCCTGGTGTGCACACAATTTTGGAGACTTTTGTTTGTCTTCCAACCACCAGTCATTCATCTTTCAGTGAAGGTGACGATTCTGGAGTGGAGTCAACAATATGGCGGGGAGAGGAGGCTAACAATTCTGAGACTAACTGGGGCAGGGGACGAGGGCGCCTCAAGTGCTTTTAGTTTCTTGTTAGACGTTCTCTGTAAGTACCTCATGGAGAGCTGCCTTGAATGCCAGGCTTTTTATCGCTTTTTAAAACAAGAAGCATCTACAGCAACAGAATGTACCCGAGGCCAGAATGCCACGGGGAAGCTACTTTGGTCCACTTAATTTAAGACAGAAAAAATCTAAGAAGGAAAATTCTGGCAGTATAAAGAAAGGCCCAGAGTGGCCCCCAGCTTCTGATCCTTGAATCCTTGCAGAGAAAAGAGAAACACAGACACAAGGCACGCCATGTTTTCTTTATGAGGAAATTCACCCTGGTCACATCAAGAAAAATCTGTCAGAACTCGTTTCTACATTGTTATCACTTACAAGTCTCTGAATCACAACAGAATCTCCTGATCTGGCTCGGCGGTCACCACCACTTTTTTTCTTTGGCCAACTACAGACTCCACACATAATCTGTTACATTAAGTATGTTCCTTGTGAAATTACTACAGATGATGTAAACAATGGGCCACGGATTCCTTATTTTCAAACAGGTGGAATGTGATTAATATACAACATTCAAGTAAAATCATTATAAGAGCGACAGGGCGGGTATTTCTGTAAGAATGTGATTCAAAGATAAGAAGCCAGAGGAGTCGGGGCCGGCTCCCTGCAGGTGCCGTGCGGTCAGCAGTAGTTTGACTCTACAAGGTAAGGTGAATCTTTAAGAGGTTTCCGTCCCTGGGCGAACCCGCATGGATGAGGGCTGTCCTCCCCTCCAGGGCTATGCAGGATTTCTGCTGGCAGGTTTGCCCATTCAGGAGAGGCTTCTTTCTCGGCTTCACAATCCCTTGTTGAAGTAGACACGCCGTAATTCAGGCTGGCTTTCTTGGATCTTGGCTTGCAATTCAGGCTCCAAGCTTGTCACTGACATGGAACTGGGGTAAGGGAGAAGTGACAGGGTATATTAGATAGGCAGAGTGGGGCTAGAAGTTGGAGAAAGCAGAGTGAGAGACTCTCCCCGGGAGAGTCCAACTTGGAAAGAGCTCCACAAAGTTAGAAAGGAATTGAGTAGCGCCCCCTGGTGGGCGGGCTCAGTTACCCCCATCAATAGCTTTGGGAAATGATATAAGAAATTTTGAGTGTAAACCAGAGACATTTTATGGGGGTGGAGAGGGAAATGGGATCAGAACTGGGATGGAAAGGGTGCACTGGACTATAGTGGTGGTACACGGGTGAAGTGGTGGTGTGAAGCCCATGGGGATAACAACTGAGATGAAAAAATGCACAAAATGAAGAATGATGTAAAAAAAATAAAAAAAAAAGGAATTTTGAGAAAAAAGAAAAAGAAAAGAAATTTCATCACAGTGGATTGCTACATCTGTTCTATTTTATTTTAGTTATTGTTCACCTCTTATGGTGCCTTATAAACTAAACATGCACATAGTGGAAAAAACCAGGTGGGGTATTATCCTTGCTCTCAGGCTCACTTGGGAGTCTTGGCACGTGTTCTTGTGGGTAAGGAGGGCTAACAGTACAGTATCGTTCCTTTTACAGAATTGTCACTAATAATCAAAGATGTGTACCCAAGCCGCCCAAGATTTTACTAAAAGTTGACAGCCTGCGGCTCTCCCTGGTGGCGCCGCGGGTTAAAGCGCAGCACTGAGAAGCTAAAGCCACTTCGCATGAGTTTGATCCCCGCCTGCCCCGGAGGAGATCCACATGGCACGGCAGACCTCTCCTGACCCGCTCGCTGCCTCCCTCAGCAGTGTACTTCATAGATCTGACTGTTCTGCTCCCCACTCTGTCTCTGGTGAAGCCTCTCACCGCCCCTGAGCCTCTGGCCTGTACCCCAGCTCTGTATGCATAAATAAATTTTTACAAAAAAAAAAAAAAAGTTGACAGCCTGCTTGTGGCCACGACCGCTGTGACAGTGACGGCTGTGACAGTGCTGCCTGGGTGGGGTACTGGTAGCTGTTCCTCATAACACCACCTCCCAAGGGGACTGAACACATGCTCAACCATGAATGAAAAAGGAGTCCTGCTCTCCCTGGAGCTAACTCAACTCACAGTGTGAGGGACAACTCCTGTGCTCTGCTGTAGGAAGAGCCAAACTCATTCTACAATGGAGAAAGTACTAAAATGTACCAGGAAAACATCACTTACAGAATTTACCACTGTCAGTTTCTGCTGTATGCATTTAAAAAATAAACTTGAATTTATATGTGGTTTTACAGATATTAAATATGAAACATTAAAGGCTGGGGTTTTTGGCTATAAATGCTTATTTATATAAAGGTATGAAGTTGTCCCCAGTGCTCAGAGACCAGAAAAACTGCTGACATTTTCATGTATAATTAGTCTTTCGAAAAAATTTGATGTTTAATCTAGAATATACAGGGAAAGAAGTAAGGTAAGGTAAAGTCTGGACATAGAGTTATACAAAATATGCAAAAAGTAAAAGAAAACTAGAAAAAACTTCCAGAATGTTTCTTATCTATGTTGTGGGACTTTGGACAAGTTTTAGTTGCTGCTTCTGGTGCTAATGGCCACCACCTGCTTGTCGTCTGTTGGGCTGAGTACTGTGCATTTTAATCCTTGTGAAACCTCAGAAGGCCAAGGAGAAGTCAAGACAAGGAAACCAGCGGTGTAAGGGCCTGAAACCAGGTTTTTCCCTATCCACAGCCACACCCACTGGAGACAGCATCTCTGGATCCCGCTGCTTCTCTGATCTGCAAGTCCTTACATTACTAATGATGCATTTGAAAGACCAAACCCAATTTTGGAATTAAAATTATTCAACCTTATAGGTTGATGGAGGGGATTTTCTTATCTTCTAGGAGAGCTTATTTAAAATTGGTATAATTTGTGTCTTGACAGTTGAATAAATCTTCCTTGTAAAGCCACTTGGTTTTTGATGTACTTTGTAGAAAATTAAATAATGCTTTGATGTCTTTAAGCCAATTTCATTCTAATTTTTCATTCAGTTCTGTTAATATTTTTGTAGGAACCTGTTCAGTTTTCCTATTTCCAAAACAATGTTGTTATTTTCTTATCTTATTAATCTCTGCTGAATTTCTAGTAATGTCATTTTCTTATGCTAAGATTATTTATGCCTTTTGTTTTGATTGATCTCTGAAGACAGTTGTCTACAGTGCTACTGTTTTTCAAAGAAATGGTTTATTTTGACTTTGTGGGTCCTCTTTATTTTTTTTTTAATTACTTCTTTTATTAATTGCTGGTCTTAATTCCATTTTATTTCTCTGGAAATAAAATGCCTTGTTCTATTATTTTGTTGTCATTATCATTTATTCATATGGGAGAATGTATAATTGTGGCATATTCCTACAATGGACTGTTATACAGCTCAAAATGGATGAACTACAACTATGTATAATCATGTGAATAAGTCTTAGATGATGTTAAATAAAAAACAAGTGACCAAAGATTACATACAATACCCTTACCTACAAAGTTCCAAAGAGACAAGACTGGACAACAATATTAGACGTATGTATATATTTGATGAAAAATTTAATTGTAATTCCATGATATACATGGCATTTGTCAGAGTATTTAAACCTGCAACAGAGGCAATGAGACAGGCTGCGAAGAGAGTACAGATGGATGTTACTGTAATATTTTTACTCATGGTTGGGCACTGGGTACAGCGTATTTAATTGTATTATTAAAATATTTTTAAATTTTAATTAATAAAAAAAAATATTTTTAAAAAACAAGGTCATGCTGGGCCTTCCCTGGTGACGCAGTGCACTAAGAAGCTTAAGCCACTTCCTTGTGAGTTCGATTCCCACCTGCCCCAGAGGAGATCCACATGATGTAGCAGACCTCTCCTGACCCGCCCGCTGCTCCCCTCAGCAGTGTACTTCGTAGATCTGCCTGCTCTGCTCCCTGCTCTGTCTTTGGTGAATCCTCTCACCCTCTGCATCTCTGGACTGTACCCCAGTTCTGTATAAATAAATAAATCTTAAAAAAACAAAAACAAAAACAAGGTCATGCTTGGTCCAACAAGGACCAAGTTAAGACCAGCAATAAAGAAAAGAAATAATAAAGAAAAAAAATAAAGAGGACCCACAAGGCAAAACCAAGTTATTAAGTAGCTAATAAGGAAGAAACAAAAGAAAAATAAATATATAAACAGATGGATACATAAACAAAAAAAAAACCCAAACCCACAAGAAAAAGGCCAATAAGCTTCACTTTTTAAGTGGAGGAAGACCAGGGAATTCTTGGTGGTCTGAATGCAAAACCACACGGCGCGCTCGGAGAGCTTGCGACCTCAACGATATGTTGGGCTATACAAAACCCTGAGTTTAAATTAATCACAGGGCCCTCCCTGGTGGCGCAACAGGTTAAAGCACTGCACTAAGAAGCTAAAGCCACTTCTGCATGAGTTCGATCCCACCTGCCCCAGAGGTGACCCACATAGTGCGGCAGGCCTCTCCTGATCCACCTGCTGTTCCCTGTACGCTGCTCCCTGTACTTCGTTAGTCTGCCTATTCTGCTCCCCACTCTGTCTCTGGTGAATCCTTTGACCGACCCTGCACCTCTGGCTTGTACCCCAATTCTGTATGCATAAATAAATAAATCTTTTTAAAAATTAATTAATCACAAAATCAATGTTAAAATGAAAAAGTATATATTTTCTTATGTCACTCCCTGAGCTTCTGGGCCTACATGACTAACCGAACATAAGAGTGCCTGGTGTTTGGGGATAAGGAGACATGAGGAAGTCCATCCACAATGGGCTCTGAGGGCAGGTTTTGAGGCCACTGCCTTTCCTCTCCTGGGGGCTGGGCTTTTATCTACAAGTGATAAATGGCCCCCTGGCCTTGAGATTTAATTCCCTATTTAACAGCACAGGGTCAGAGACACACATGAAGAGCTGATAGAAGCTGAGTCCTCTGTTGGGTGGAGGGACCTGACAAAGTGGCCCCACAACAGAAGGCATACTGTCCCAAGCCTAACATGAGAGCAGAGGCCACCAGAGACATCCATGGCCCATGAACATGTGGGCCTTGCCATGTGGGGAGCCTGGAAATACTTGAAAGAGAGCACAGCAACGATGCTCTGTTTGGTGTTCCATCAGGAGGCGGCTGAAGCCTTGTATCTAAAGGGTGGCGATTTAATGCCTGTCAGTCTCGTTCTTACATCAAAAGCAGCGCACTTGGGCTGGATCACATGCACAAGGCTTGCAAAGAAAAAAAAAAAAAGCAGCAAATACACAGCAACCACCAGCTCCTGCTTGATGGCTGTCCCTGGGGCAGAACTGGGAATCTGATACCTCTGCATTCTGGACACACTGGCCACAGGGCTGGAGGGCAAAGCACCGCAGCACGATTTTTCTGAAAGCAAATTTGTGCCAGAGAAACCTGACTCTTACACAAAGCACATAGCATTTTGAGAAATGGGAGAGCGAGAGAAAAAAAATGCTGGTAAGAAAGTTTTGAAATTAGACAGACACGGGTTTGGTTTCTGTCTCCATCTCTCCCCTGTGGAGACCATGGTTTCATTTATCTTTTTTGAGTCTCCACTTCTGGCTGGGGAAATGGAATTTCAGCTCCTGCATCTTCAACAGGCTTTGTGGGTTACTACTTATAGTCATCTCCGAGAATCACAGATACATACCTTTTCTGAGGAAACAGAGCACAGCAGAGAGGTGTAGCAAACACCAAGCTTTAAGAAAAAGGACAAGTTAGAGAATTATTGAAATGGTTGATTTTCAGATTCATTTTTCCATTTTACTTTTAAATCAACCCGTTTCTTTCCTCAAAGCATTACATTGCCTCACAAAAATAGGTCCTGTTTGGATAATTTCACCACCAACGGTTGCCAAATTAATTTTTTTAATCAAAGAGATAACAGTTTAAAAAATAATAACACAAATTGTCCCCAAAGTTGTACTTGTCTCTAAAGCGTTACTTCCATCTATTCATTGGGGCATGAGTTCCAGATGTTCTGGAATGTTCTCATTTTTCATAATTTGTGTCCCACATTCTCTCATCCTGTCACCCTTTCATAATGCTGCATAATTATTTTTTAAAATTTGGTATAAAAGTAATTCTACTCACCAGAAGCCAACAAGTCCAACTTGAATAGGTGCACTCATCCATGGGAACCTCTGTTTTGAGAAATAAATTATTTTGAATACTGTTTATCCAGACTTTCAGCAGCAGTTTCTTTTGCAGGGCTCTCCTCACATTATAAGATCCATTGGGAACATGATTAGTGGAATTTGGGGGTACACGGCAACAAGCGTGTTAGTCCTTGCCTTTCTGTGACCCTAAGTCTATCAATAATCTTGTGGAAGATCAAATGCCTTCTAATTTTCTTCCTTGCACATGAATCTGAGTGATGCTGGCTGCAAATGGGGGTGGGCGAGCTGCTAACGCTTGACTATAACTTATCTTCTGGCCGGGAGACAGCTCAGCAGAATGAAGATAGTCACAGCTTCCTAAATAAGTGTGTAAGTGAAGACAGGCTAGAGAACATCCATCAAGTGCCCAGCACAATGCTTGGAACACAGCAGAAAAGCCCTTACATTTTCCTTTCTTGATTTTAGTTACTATCAATGTGGTCAGAACTACTGCTGGCATAAAACATTTCGCATGTCATTTTTTTTTCTTTTAATGGGAATGAATAGGTTGGTTGGCCTTGTGGAGAATCAGTGCTGTTAGATTTTCAATTTGAAAAAAGGAGTGGTGCCAACATGCATAGTAGAGAGAGCTAAAACACATGGTTATATAAATAAGGCTGAGAAATGGCCGCAACCAAGTGTGAATTAGCTGTAATGAAATCAGCCAACAGAGTTAGGTCAACGCAAGTGGTTAAAAGATTTATCATCCCAACCACGGCGGCTTGTGCGAGAGGCATACCCAGGTCCCTGAGAAGACTCCACTGGAGAAAAGGCTAAGGTGAGAACAGAGGCGTGGACTAGGGAGGAAGAGAGAAATATCATCAAGAGACAGATGCACAGAGCTCAGGGGACCCCTTGCCCCCAACCCTGATGGGCTGCGGATCAGAGGGCCCCTTTGCCTCCCCCTCCCCCACCAAGGCAAGGTCAGGATGTGCTGTGTCCTGGGCAATTGGCTCATCTGAGGATGGACTCCAATGAGGACAGGACAGGCCCTGCCTGAGCGCCTCCCTTGGGGTGACCCTGAGCTGGTGAGACGAGCTCTTGCAGAAGGGTGATCCTGAACCTGGAGGAGCAGCCTCCTATTCCTGGACTCTGGTGTGCAGCAAAGTGGGCTAGCTGCATCCCAGGGAACAGCTGTGGGGCCTCACCGAGGGGCGGGTACAGACGGAAGGCTGACTGGTCCTTGGGGGATAGGGCTGGGGGGAGGTGAAGGTGCTGGAAAGGGGGGACAATGGCAAGGACCCTGGGGAGCTCTGACTTCTCCTGTGAAACTCAGCCTGTATGTCATCCTTCTCCCGACTCCCATTCTTGCCATTCTGCCTAATTCGTCTCTGCTTCTTAAATGGAACTTAGTCCGACACTAAATCAGCAAGTAACGATGCTTGGTCTTTCCCTAAACACTTGCATTACATCCTTGGGGAAGGAACATGTATCCAGCACAGAATCACGCAGAGGATAAGTGAAAGGTTAAATGATTTAAAGACAATACTCTGAAGTTTAAAAGATACATATTCAAGAAGATAAAAGGCTCAGGATGTACGCTAACTGTAATTCTCCTCCCTAATAAGTCTTCCAGTAGTTTTCTGACACACGATAAACTACACACATTTAATTCTGTACAACAGAGTCATGCTTCACTAACGGATGCATTCTGAGAAATGTGTTGTTGGGTGATTTCATCGTCATGCGTATGACGTAGACGATAAATTGCACCTCTACTGATCTAGCCTCCTACACACCGGGGCTGATGTCCGCCTGCTATTATCTCTGTCACAAATGTGGTCCACTAGGGATGAAAACACCATTATGTGATGCATGACTGTGCAGGTTTTGACATACCATCCATCAGCTATGGAACCAGCCTCATAATCAATATGATGAGCTGATCCACACCCCTCACACTGCCCTTGACCCCACATCCTGGAGCACTCCACCAGTCTGCATCCCTTTCCCTGGCCACCTCTGATCTTCTTTCTGTCACTGTATATTCATTTAGATTTCCTAGGATGTTACACTCATTATTCTTTTGTGTAATTATTTTCAGATCCATTCAGATTTTTATGTGTCTCAACAGTTCACTACTTTTTATTGCTCAGTAAGAAACCCCACTGCACGGATATAGCACAATATGATAATCCATTTTCCTGCAGATGAGCTTTTGGGTTGTTTCCAGTTTTTAGCTACTACAAATAAAGCTGTTAATAACATCAGTCTTTTGTGGATAACATGTTTCCTTTTCTTCTACTGAACACCTAGGAGTGAAATGGCTGGAGCAGATGGTAAGTGTCTGTTTAATATTTAAAGAAGCTGCCAAACTATTTTCCAAAGGTACAGTTTTACATTCCCACCAGCAAGGGATGAGACTTCCAGGTCTTCTGCATCCTCCCCAGTGGTCTTTTAATTTAGCCATTGTAAAGGGTGTTTAAATGTAGCATATAGTTTTTAATTCTACTTTCTTTAGTGACTAAAGATACTAAGCATCTTTAAACATGCTTATTTGCTCTTTGTATGTACTACATGGAATGTCTGCTCAAACCTGTCCATTTTCTTTTGGGGGGGGTTTCTCAAAGGAGCATTGAGGGTTCTTTTATAATTTTGGAATCACTTCCTGTCCTTTATCAGATTCATGCTTTGCATACATTTTCTCCTAGTCTGCTTCTTATTTTTTCATCCTCCTTACAGTCTTCAAACAGCTGAGTTTTGACATGCTGATCAAGCCCCAATTTATCAATTATCAATTTTTCTTTGATGGACAGTGCTTCTGGTGCTATGGCAAAACAAACTCTATCTAACTCTAAATGGCCTAATAGACTATCTCAAAGATGATCTGTTACATTTTTTCCTAGAAGCTTTACAAATCTAGATCTTCACATTTAGAATCTATAAACCATTGGAAGTTGGTTTTGAGAGGTGGTACAGCCAATTATGATACAAGGCCCATATCCCAGGCAAAATGAACACCGCCATCTCCTAGCGAGCTATGCTCTCTTCCTCTGAGCTTCTGTTGAGCATCTGCCCATGGCCGGTCTCCTCAAATGTCTGTCCACCCTTGAATTGGAGGAGACACCTCCTCTATACACCCTGCACTGTATTCATGGGGTTCTGGCACCATCTCCTGAGACTTTGTACCCCCAAACCCCTAACCCCATAGCCCCACATGTTCGTTGAGAGCTGGGTTCAAGCCCTGTTTCTATGACCCTAGCACCTTATATGACAGTTCCATAAAACAGACATGCTGGTAAGGGCTGAGAATACACGCCAAGTTACTTTCCCACTCAGCAGATGACCCTAAGTCAACTGGGTAGACAGAGCAGGCCATCTTTATCAAAAGGAAGATGAAAGAACTAAAACTGAAGGAATGAGGGACTATATTTGACCCAAACTGAATCGATTTTATTCACAATGAAAGTATAAGAATGACTTTAGATATTGCAGGAACTCTCCTTCAGCTACTTGCTGAAGGGCCAGATTTTAGGCATTGAGTTTTTTGATTTATTGTACAAGTATCTGTGAATCACCTGTGTCTGGCCAGCACTCCATGTGGGACAAGAAAAGACACAGGGTAAGCGAGGAACCACAGCAAATGCTGTCCAAGCTGACCGTTCACAAAGATCAACAAAAGATACTAATCAGCAAATCAAGAATGGCCAATTCCTTTCACATCTGCAGCGGTGTCTGGTCATGTCCCAGGGACAGGCCTGGATGGCTGCTGGAGCTATGGGGACTGTCAAGAGAGACTGAGCCACACAACCCAGTGCCTAAAATGTCTGGAGCTTTTGCTGACGGGGCGCAGACAGGCCTGTCTCTCTGAAGTGTGGGGCGCTGTGAGGAGGGGCTACAGAGGAAGTAATACAAATGGCCTCTGCTTATGCTTTAACAATGGCCATGACACCGATGGCATCCTGGGGCTTCTCCACAGGAGCAAAGCGTGGTACTGATGTTCACAGCTGCCAGGCACCTGGCAGGGGCATGTGTGTGAGTAGCTCTGGCACTCAGTCTGTACCTTCTCCCAAGAAACATCTCTACCAAGGTGGAGAAAGGTGTGGAGAAAGTGGGACAGCCTCAACCAGACCCCTGGAGCCTGTGAGGGACTTTGCAGGACCCTCGAGCTACTCTGACCACCAGTCCTGCCCCAGTGGCTCCTTCTGGCTTCTTGGTGGGGAGGAGAGAGGCCTGTTCCAGGACGGCCAGCCAGGTGATACACCTCTATCTTATTTAAAGGGTATGGTAAAAAGCACAGACTAAGACAAGGGAGGCATTTCACTGAAGGAGGATTTAACAAACATCCACTCATTCATGACTGCGAACATCTAGGCGGATGTGGCACTGCTGAGTGCACGCTTCTGCCGTGTGCTGGCCCCTGTGTGTAAGGAAATGCCAGAGTCCACAGCCTCATCTACACATCCCGACAAGAAGGGCCCACATCACCTATATACAATGGAATATTACTCAGCAACCAAAAAAGAGAAACACATGTCTTTTGCAGCAACTTGGATGGAGCTGGAAAAGATCATGCTTAGTGAGATAAGCCAGAAAGAGAAAGAAAAATACCGGATGGTTTCACTCATAGCAGGAGTATATTGACCAGGCGAGAAAATAATAACGAACAGCCATATACCAGAGACATTTTGTGGGGGTGGAGTGGGGAATGGGATCAAAAATGGGGGGTGGGGGTGGAGTGCACGGGACTATGGTGATGGCACATGGTGACTCGGTGATGGGAAACCCACGGGGATTACAATTGAGATGAAAAAAAAAGTACAAAATGATGTAAAAATAAACTTATATTATAAAAAAAAAAAAGAAGGTCCCACATCTACCCTTCGGTGTCTGCCATCTAGTGTTGGTCACTGAGCTGTGAGGGTCACTGTGGCCACTTTCCCAACAACACCAAGACTCCAGGGGTCCAAAGGGCTGACTCAGCTTCAAGAATGTTGTGCCAGCTTCATGACATGCTTCCCCCACCAACCTAACCTTTCATCATGAAAGTAGGTTGAAATGCAGGCCTTTTTATAACAGATTTATTTATTTACGCTTATAAGAACTGGGGTACAGGCCTGAACTGGGGGTGGGGGGTGTTGTGAGAGGATTCGCCAGAGATAGAGTGGGAACTGCTCAGGGCATGTTGGGTCTGTGAGCTATGCCCCTTTATCTCAAAGCTTTACCTTGTCCCAGCAAAGCACATATTCACTTCTGAGACCCAAAACAATTTATCTGAGAGAGCTGTGGTTTTTGCCACAGCACCTCTGCTTCTCCAGCAAGGAACCTGACCCACTTCTGGAAGATCTAATGGTGACACTTTCCAAACAGTCTGGGAAAAATGAGTTACCCTATGCCATGGTACCCCAGATGTTGTGAGAACTGGAGAACTCAGATGAAACTAAAATACTATGGCATTAAGTCATGATGCTATAAGAAGCAATGTAGAAAGAATGCCTCAAGTGCACTGAGAGTTCCGGATTATAGTTACTTTCCGTAATATTTGCAGACCTCGACAAATGGCAGTTTTATATTAATGAATTTTTAGATATGCTCACCAAAGAAAAATACCTTGCAAGCAAAAGTCAGTGTTTCATAAAGCTACTATTTCACATTATTTTTTCATTTTTGATAGAATATAGAGAAACTTGTCAACATATCAGCCCACATTCACACAGTCTCTATGTTATCACAAAACAAGGCATTAATCAGTGACTAAGGTAAGTGTGTAAGGGATCAGAACCCCTCAGAAGTGGGCACAATCTTTTGTAAGTATCTGAGATTAGACATCATCACGTGTTCCCAGAAACATCTTTTTACTTACATAAATGCCCAAGTGCCTTCAAAATCTTTACTATGTAGGAAAAATTCTGTTATGGTTTGAATTCTGAAAAGGATTTGCAGGATTGAGTCAGTGGTAAATAGAGCTGGAACTTGCCAGTTTTAAATCCTTTCTTTTTTCCCTTCAGATTAATTTCACATGCAACAATGAGTAATAATGTTGTCTAATAACTTGACATACAACCTGTAAATTTATTTACCTGTCAATCCAACTGTACAGCATGTTACTGTTACACATTTGTCTATGGTAGCAAAGTTGTCTTATCATATTACATACACACTTACAGAACAATATCCTTGTCTGTGTTCAATATACTGCACATTAAAGTGTGGGCTTACCTTTAAAAAGGCTTTCTTTTCCAAAGCATTCATGATAAATGGAGGGATGGCTGGAAGTTAAGACAGTGCACTTAAATCTTTATTTAATATTTATTTTTGACCCACTCCCGTCCCCAACATTGTAACAAAAGGCTCATATCACTTTCAGTCTATTTTTACACTGGCAGAGAGCAACCATTTGCATAATTTCTAAAAATATTTTAGTATTTTGAAGAAAATCTATAGTTCCCATTCTCTAGGTCTTTGAAAAATAATGTGATGCTCTTGAAGAGATGTTTTATATTTTTTTCTTTTAAATTGAAGTAACATTGCTTAATAATGATGTAAGTTTCCAGAGTACATCAGTAAGAATCAACAGCTGCGTGGACTATATGAAGGTCACCACTAAAAATCCCCCTGGGTCCTTCTTATGCTAACAAACAAGGCTCATCCAGGTGTCTGGCCTGTGGGTCAGGAGACCCCCCTCACCAGCTGGGTGACCCTGGGAAGTTGCTTCACTTCTACCAGCCTGTTTTCTCAGTGTACCAAAGTGGCCATGATGTACAGGGGTGGTCACACATCCAGATTCTGGTAGCAGCAGTCTTTCATCAAACTAAACTGTCAGCTCAGCTGCTTCCCTTGTGGACAACGCCGTGTAGATTTCATGGAGGTGGACAGACAGGGTCTCTTCTCCAAAGACTGGGTGATGCTGGAAATTACCAAACCTCTGTGAACGGATTGGGTTGGCTGAACTCCAAAGAGGAGCCAAACATATCCAAATCCAAACCAAGGACATAATGGAAAGCAAACCCAGATCACCACCTACAGATGTGTCCTCGATGTCAGCAAATCAGAAAACCTGAACCCTGAAGGCAAGCTGGGGGTGGGGGTTCCACTGCCCCCTTGAGGTTAGTCTCCTAGTGCTGACTGCTGATGGTGAAATTAGCTGGGGTGCAAATATCAGACAGCCCTAATTAGCTGGGGTGCAAATATCAGGTGCCTCAAAGTTTTCCTTCACGCATGCATTTTTTTTTTCAGCATTTGTTGGCTGTTCCTATTCATTTGTTGACGAGCATCAGAGTGACAAAAGGAATTTAAAGAGAAGAAAGAGATCAGTGGGAAAACTTGACAGCAGTTGCTTCCTCTGAGAGTTGAGCAAACAGCCCAGGGGTGTCTGTACTCTGTTCTAGTTCAGATGTTGAAACGAAACACATATATTTCCACTTCCTGCAAAGGAAACTGGGCCTCCCAGAGGCTCCCACCACCAACCCCTCCCCCCCATCCCTGGTTACTGTTTCCTTATACCCAAGCCCATTCCAGGCCCCTAGAGGTCAGTGCCTTAGGGATCTTTGGTGCAGAACATCTCAGAGGAAGTAAGCACAGAGCAGATCCCATGTACTCAGTCAAGCTGGCTCAAGCCCATCTCCCCTGATCCCCTGCTGAGGTGGCCTGGCACCTTTTATAACAGTTGCTCTAACCAGCCTGAGTTACTCTGTGTTCAAGGCACTTCCAAGTGATACACACAAATCTTTGGAAAGGATTTTCTTCTTTTCAACCTTTACAAAGATCAATTTTTTGGCTGCCAAATTCTCATCACCTCCACTATCACTGCCCCATCGGTCCTGCCTCACCTCTCATTTGGGGTGCTGCAGTAATACTCAATCCATTGTTTTCCTTCCCTCTATCTATTCTCAGCACAGCACCAGAGTGGTGCCCTTACACCTTACATCAGACCGTGCCGTCTCCCTGGCTTCCTGGCCCTTACACTGAAAACCAGGGCTGGCTCAGGTCACCCACATCCTGCCCTCAGGGACCTCGTCCTACCCACTTGACTCTTCCCACTCCCAGTCTCTATGCCAGTTGCCTCTGCTGCCTTCAGATGCTGCCTACATGCCAGACATGCTCCCCACTCTCCCACTGACTGCTTTGTCTAGAACGCTGACCCCTGACATCCACCTGGCTCACTACCTCACCTCTGTCCAATCCTCTTCCCTGGTCTTCTGCCCACTTCCACTGCAACACCCCATCTCCAGTCTCCTTTTCCTCTTTACTCCTGCTTACCATCTCATATGTCTTCTGCTTATTGTGTTTATTCCCCACCAGCCTCACTAGCAAGTGAGTTCCATCATGAGGACGGATGTTTTTTTTAATTATTGAATGCATACACACTTGCTCAATCTATGTTCCTGGTATACATTAATGGAAGATAAAAGTCTACTAACCCATGCCTGGGGCGGCCATGAGGATCCTGGAGACCACCACTTGAGTGATGGCCTGTTGGGCAGCATTGGCTGACTCGCCCAGGCGGTTGCCATTTTCATCTGTGACAGGAATGCCCACTTTGAGTTCCCTGCAGAGTGAGATATTCAGAAAAGCAAAGATAGTCACAGCAGCTTCATGAAGTGGCTGCATATAGCGCCCCATTGAAAGGTCAAGTCCCCACTCCATCTAAACACGCTCATTGGCACAGACAAGTCTATTTTTAAAACGGCGAACAAGTACAATTCATGCGTGATAGATTCAAAGGGAAAATAAAACTAGTAAACTTAGTTAAAAAAAAAAAAAGTGCAGCAGTTTTAGTAACAATGTGACTCCCAGTGTGAAATGGTAACTTATAGACAGGGCTCATTTTCTAGGCTCATGTGTAATGTCGAGAAACTTTCCAGGTGAAAAAATATAATAATATGCAGCCTTACGGGGATGCTGACTACACAAAAGGACTTATCTACAAGTTACTAATACTGTGATGATAGCTCTTTTCCTTTCCCTGTGTTTTGTTATCCATTTCAAAATGCTCTTCCTCATTCTTTCTCTAACTTTAATTTTTTCCAGTTCTAAAAACTACTTCCAAATATATATACATTACTTTTTTTTTTAAAGATTTATTTATTTATGCATACAGAACTAGGGGATAGGCCAGAGGTGCAGAAGATCCAGCAGAGACAGAGTGTGGAGTAGAACAGGCAAACTGACAAAGTACACTGCTGAGGGGAGCAGTGGGAGAGTTAGGAGAGGTCTCCTGCGCCATGTGGGCACCTCTGGAAATGGGATGGAAATTGCACTGATGCAGCTGTGGCCAGCTTGCAGTGTTGTGTCCTAACCCGCTGTGCTACCAGGGAGGGCCAGATTAACATTACTTAAAACCCAAAATGAGGGGCCTTCCCTGGCGGTACAATGGGTTAAAGCACAACACTACAAAGCTGAATTCAATCCCCAACCAGGAAGGTGACCTACATGGTACAGCAGACTTCTCCTGTCTTGCCCGCTGCTTCCCTCAGCAGTGTACTTCATCAGTCTGCCTCTGCTCCTCATTCTGTCTCTCACCACCCCTTGCACCTCTGGCCTGTACCCCAGTTCTGGGTGCAAAAATAAATAAATCTTTAAAAAAAATCCTTTTTTTGCAAGACCTTCGTCCCCTACCCCTGGCACACTAAATGAAAGATTGAGATTTATTTTGACATTTTTTTATTATGTAGAAGTAGAAAGAGTATTCTAATCCCACTCTACTTAGTTATCAGCAACTCATGGCTAAACTTGCTTCATCGATGAACTCACCTTTAGCCTCAACTCTAGATCATTTTGAACAATTCCCAGATCTCAAACAATTTCATCTGTAGATATTAAAATAAACTTTAAAAGTTTTGACTAATTATTTGAAGAGACTCTCCTGTCCAGCACAAGTCCTTTCAAAGAGTGCCTATTCATCTTACCTTTGCCGCATTAATGGAATATTAATGCAATTAGCAGCAGCTACAGCAGCAAAAGGAACAAAACGTCCTATGAGTGGGGAGATACGCTGTGAAAAAAGATAATTTCAAAAGCATTACTGTACTTTTTCTGGACTACTGAATGGAAATACTTCTTCTTGAAAACTGCTAAAAATAGGCAGAGTCCTATTTGCATATAACTCAGTGCTCACTGTGTGGGACACACACACACACAGTGGAATATTATGCAACTATGAAACAGGATGGAACAACACAGATGGGCCTGGAGTTGATTCAGCTGAGTGAAATAGATGGAGAAAGACAAAATATCCCAAGATTTCACTCATATGTAATACCTAGATTAAAAAACAAAAGGTTTGGGATGATCAGACCAACTAGCGGTTACTGGAAGGGAAAAGAAGGTGTATAAATTGGGCCAAAAGGGACAGTGGTATGGGGAAGGACAGAACTGACTTTCAGGGGTGACCTTAATGTAGTTCTCAATGACGCACACTTGAAGTTATATAATAACACAACATTACTTCAATTAAGAAAAAAAACTCACACTGTGAGTACTTTGAAAACTTGTTTCCAAGTGGCATTTACATTTCCAGTATTGGCATCCGGGGCCTAGAATGTCAACATCTAAGATATTTTGACAGTCGAGTGTGATTGTAGGGGTAGGGGCTTTAGAGTCCCAGGTTTAGAGAGTTCAGCTGTGATGCCTCCTTCTCCAGAGAGGTGTGGGCAGGGGACACACTGCCTGATACCTGCTCCAATGGGCTGTGCGGTGGATGAGGACTTAACACTTAATCTGCATGTCAGCTACAGACTAGGTCTGGGTACATGTTCCTGGGATGCCCCTTCTCCTGAGCTTCTGGGAAGATATAATTAAAATATGCACTGAAGAGAATAACTCTAAGAAGAAAGTCAGATAACTACTTTGGGCAATAATAGAGAGACTCAGAGCCAGGCAGGTAGGAACAAATTAGGAAACTTTATTATAGAAAAAAGGTCTGAGTACCTTGGCTAATGCATTGAGTCCTAGAGCTGTTGTTACAGCACCTGTTGTGGCAGAAACATACGCTGTCCCCAATTCGCTGGAAAGAAAGAACAGTGGTGAGGATGGGGAAGAAGCAAGGGGACAAGGTGCAGGGTAACGAGACATGGTGCTCTGGTTGTGGGTGTGCTGTGGTGACGTGCACCTGAACCTGCTCCCTTAATGCATGTGAGGACTATACACCAATGCTACCTCCACTGAAAAATCAAAAGAGTAGTGCGTAACCTGTGAGCAATTGTCAGGAATCTGGGACAACAGATTCCGAAGCAATGAGGGGAAACGTAAAAGAACGAGATTCAAAATGGAGATTCCATGAAATATTCATATTATTCTCCAAGTAGCGAAAGCCTCAGAAAAAGCAAGTTAGCCCATAGAAAAGTGGGATCCTTCACCTACAATGCAAAATAAGCAGCCACATCAAGTGTGTGTATGGAGGGGTGGGGTGTTGGGTAACCAGGACAGGCAAGGGGGTATGTGGTAGAAACATGTGCAGGGAACATACGCACACGTTCCTCAGAATACTGATACACATACTGCAAGTGACAACTCCGAGCACGCTGCCACCCTTGAAATGACACCTTACAGGATGAAAATTTGGAAAGTCCCATCTCCAAAACGTAGTGAGGCCCACACAATTCTCTCTTAGCTTAAACTTTTAATTTAAGGATTGGATGAAGTGAAGGTGTGATAAACACCTGCTAATTTTCATATCCTTGTGCCAGAGCTGATGGTAGAAGACAGACGGTCAAAAGCAATTTAAAACCAAAAAAAGAAAACACTTTGAAGAATTATGTCCATGATGCTAAAGTTTCTGTTAATTAATCTCTGTCACCTGCCTACAGCCTACAGTGTTTTTTTTTTTTTCCACAGGAGAAAAAAATTTAAGATTATTTATATTCTTTTTGGCTGCGTGATTTAAAAACAAATGGGCAACTCGGATGGAGCCGGGAGGGAAAATATTAAGCACAATCAGCCAGAAGGAGAATGACAAACATCGAATGGTGACACTTATATGCGGGACACAGCAAAACAAAACACAAGAACAGATAAAGCCAAACTAAAAATCCAACCCTCGAAAGCTGACCAGGGAATGGGAGAAACTGGAGGGTGGGGGGACAAGGATCAAAGAGAGGGGAGCACAGAGAACAAGGGGCTCTGGGGGTGAACTGTGGTTCCTTGGTGGTGGCTGCATTCTGGCAACAACGCCCAAAAAGGGGATCATGCACCTCTATAATGGAAGCAGTGATGTAAACCGATACTAACTCCATAAAAAAATAAAAGTCAAAAAAAAAACCCATATTGGACATAAAAGCCACTGATGTCCCCTGGATTCTGCAGCCTTTGCTGTGGACACTGGTATCTGCGCCTACTTGCAGGGGAAACTGGGGTGCGCCTGTCATTTATCCATGGCCCAGCCACCTGCTGTGTACTGAGCAGGGGACATGAGTCCAGGGGGTGGAGATACATCTTCCCACTAGCGCCACTACCAACATGGTAGATCTTGATAAACGGAAAAGGAGCATGACTGGGAAGTCAATTCTACACACTACATTTCTGCAAATGCACTCTTTAATTTACACTTTAAAGCATGTTGCAGAGTCGAGCAAACCCCGGGAACAGAGAGGCCCCTCCCGTGGTGACTTACTTGACAGTGAGGGGGGCGTCTCCGCTGCGGTTGGTGTAGTTGACCACGGCATTGAAGGACTGGTTAACCCACTGCCAGAACAGCACTGCCGGGGTGGTCCTGAAACAGAGCGAGCCGTTAGGGGTCGGCCATTGCCTGTGCCCTTGCTGCCGGGGCAAGATGCACCAGGGCGGGCAAAGACCACACTGGGGTGCAGGCTGAGGGCCTGTAGGGTCAGGCCGGGCAGGCTTCCCTCCTGTCTGATTCCCAGCCTCCTCAACTGTTGGGTGTGGGAACAAGCTCAGAGGGTTACAGCGAGGATGGTACCTCACTTAAATTTTAGCTTCAATTTATGGAGAGCCTAGGATAGAGTAGGCACTCAGTAAATGTCAGGTCCCTTCTCTTGTGGGGGGAAACACTTGTAGGTCCTGGTCCCTCTTGTCTGCATGTGCAAGCGCCAAGCCTGTGTCTATGACACTGTCTACACCTACACCTACCTACACCTGGTCTATACCACTTGTACACTCACCTGCACACCTACTCCTATACCCACACCTGTTACAGCTATACTGCTCCTACGTCTAGCCTATTCTCTAGGCTTGCATCTGTATCATGTGAATGGATTAAAAAGCAAATTTACTTAGAGACTTATTTTCTTTCTTAAGCCCATTTTTCTTTTGAATCTAAGATTTTCTTTTGAATCTAAGAGTTCTGCTTCTTTTTGAACAACACAGAGAACACCATATAGCAGAGGGAAAAAGTACAACAGTCTCTCATTGAGCTGAAATACTTACATAAATGAACCTCAACAAGAAGTGATATTTATTTCAGTAAGACCATATACATACCAACATGCACTTTTAGTTGCTATAATATAAAATGAACTCATGTTACATTTCCATAACTTACCTATAAAATGTCATCATACAACCCGTGATGGTCATGTTCATTGGAACCTGAGCTGACATCCTTCCTATCAAAATCATCTTTTCACCAGTGTCGGGATGAAAAGCTGAATCGTAGATGTATTTTGCTCTCCATAGTTCATTTTCTGTAAGGCCTGGAGGAACAATTCCTTGTCTAGGAAAACAACAACAAAGAACACAGCAATTATTCATTTCAAGTATTTTACTGGTGTTCCAGAGACATATAGCAAGAGGGATTTTAAGTTTGCCCTTACCTAAAAGAACTGCCCCCAATGGAATGACACTTTAATAACCCATAACACAATCAATAAACCCATGAACATTTCAACCAACATATCTTAAAATATCTCTAATTTAGAGAAATAAAAACTTATCTTGCATAATAGGGAAGTATTCAACTTTGAAATATTCTTTGTTTAAAAAGACATTGAAAGATAGATTTTGAACTTTACAAACTCTAGAATATTTCTAACCAATGAGACAAAAACTATGGCAATTAAGAGTAGTTTGAAAACCTTGTAGTTTGAAAACCTTGGGTAGAAAGGCTCATTGCTTTTACTCTGTATCAAAAAACACGTATTCAATGCAAGAAAGCTGAAAATACAGATATTTATTAGCATAATTACTCATCACCATGGTAACGTTTTGGTGAGCACACTTTCAATCTCTTCAAGGATTTCTATCAATGATATTTAAAGGCAACAACACCGCACTTGATGCTTTATAGACATCTTTTTTTACTGAAGACTTTTTTGTAAACTTTTCTCTGCACCTTTAGCTATCCTTCTAGATCATCGACACTAGGTTGACAGTGGATCCTAAAACTCATGTCTACCAGGAGCCTTAGAATGCAAATTTTTGTGGAAACAGGTCTGCAGCTGTTCTTAGTTCAGATGAGGGCCTGCTGGGTTAGGATGGCCCTGTACCCAAGGACTGGTGTCCTTGTAAGACAGCCACACAGAGATGTGGTCATGTGATGACTGAGGCAGCGCACAGAAGAGGCAGGAAGGACCGTATTCCCACCACCCGCCCCCCAAGTCCCGAAAACCACTAAGGCACTGAGGGAATGCTACCCTGCCCAAGTTTCCAGGCTCCAGAATTGAGAGGCTCAATTTCTTTAAGTGACCGAGTTAATGGTAATTTGTTATAGCAGCCTTAGAAAATGAATACATCATCCTTTCCAAGCTGTATCATATTCCACTGTGATTATCAACTCTGTAAAAACCACCCACAAATGGGCATTTTAATTGTTTCCAATCTTTGCCATTTATAAAGGATGAAGTAAATAATCTCATAAATAAAAGTTCTGCATTCAAGTTGATTTAAAAAGAGATGAACACACTTGCTGAGATGAAAATTAAATTATTAAAACTGTACGTCCTTCCTATTTTTCTCTCTATATTTTGTACACTGTGGAGAACTGTATTATCTGCTATCCTGAGAATGTTCTTTTTTTATGTATAATAGGTGGAACAAATGAAGGGTTCAACTCATTTCAAGATTGTACAAATATTCATCTATCAGCTTTTTGTTGCTCAAGTTTTTGTTAAAAATACTTTATTGAAATGAACAGCCATATACCAGAGACATTTTGGGGGGGTGGAGTGGGGAATGGGATCAAAAATGGGGAGGGGGAGAGAAGTGCACGGGACTATGGTGATGGCACACAGGTGACTCGGTGATGGGAAACCCGCAGGGATTACAATTGAGATAAAAAAATGTACAAAATGATGTAAAAATATTTTTACAAAAAATATTTTATTGAGGTAATATTGGTTTACAACACTAAATGTGTTTTAGGGTCTAACCACACCTCTTTGATGAATTCTTGTACACCATGCATACCACCAAGGGACCCACAGTTCTCTACCATAGTCAACTGAGCCCCCTTCCCTGGGATCCCCACCCTCTACTATCCCCTAGCAGTTTTAGTTCTGCAAGCAGATTTCAGGATATGTTGCGGTTTGGTTTTATCCCTTTGCTTTTTTTACATTCCACATATGAGTGCGATCATTTGGTATGTCTTTCTCTGTCTGATTTATTTTGTTTAATCTACTTGGGAATCTATCCTAAGATGCACAAATATGAAACCTGTTTAACTTTATTTTATGATTGGCTGGTCTGCCATTCCAATACCAGTCATTGAGATTTTGGGAACGTGAGGCTTGATTTCTGGACTTGCTAGTGTGTTCCCACTATCTACATCTTCTAGACCAGGGCTGCTGTCTTCATTCCACGGCCCACATCACTCTTCAATTGAGCAATTGAGCCCTCACTCCACTCTTCTTCTTTTTCAAAAATGCCTTGAGTTATATCATGATTTTACACTTGTTTCTTATCAAAAGGCCAAACAATACATGCATAATTTTACTCTTCCAGAAAATTCTTAGAAATATTTTGTCAGTTTTAAAGGTGACCATAGTTGTTTTGACTGGTTACATTACTTTGCAGAGAAGTAACAGCTGAACAATATTATGACTTTTTTGTCAGCTTAACCCACTGTTCCTCCCCAAAGACTTGTTTTAATGATCTCATTGGCTGCACACTTTTGGAGAAGTATATTCCCAGATATTTTACGATTTTTTTCATTCTCATGAAAGTAAAGAAATACTGTCTGCCTATTGCTAATATATAGGAACTATCACTATTTTACATATTTGATTAAAGTGATCTCTAAGTGTTTAATATTTTTTCTAGTAAAAATGGCATTATCAACCTTATGTAGAAAAGGTTGATATTTGTATATTGCCCATATATCCTGTGACCATGACATGATGGTAGGTTCTTTTTCTACGGATAATCATGTTTTCTGAGAATGTCATTTCCTATCTCCATTTACTTATTTCTTACCATACTAGTTAGAAGCTCCAGCAAAACACTGAAATCCTTGCCTTTCTTCCTCACAAGGGGGAAATAGTTTGGTGTTAACTGAAGGATTTTACGATGTATCTTTACCCTTTATATTCCTAGTCTGTTGAATTTTTTTTTTTTTAAGATTTATTTATTTGTGCAGACAGAACTGGGGTACAGGCCAGAGGCTCAGAGGCGGCGAGAGGCTTCACCATAGACAGAGTGGGGAGCACAGCAGGCAGGTCAACGAAGTACACTGCTGAGGGGAGCAGCGAGCGGGGCAGGAGAGGTCTACCTCGCCATGTGATCACCTCCGGGGCAGGCGGGGATCGAACTCTTGCGGAAGCGCTTAAGCTTCTTAGTGCAGTGTTTTAACCCGCTGTGCCACCAGGGAGGGCCCATCTGTTGAGATTTTTATCATGAATGGGTGCTTGATTCTGCCTGCTTTCTCTGCACCTACTGAGACAATCACATAAGCTTTTGTTTTAGCCTACAGATAGTGATTTCCAAATGTTACAACGATCTTGCATTTTGCTATGAACCCTCACCGAATTCTACTTAAGTTTTTCAAAGATCTGTGTTTATGAGGGATATTGGGTTATATGTTTCTTATTTCTAATTCTTTTGTCTGGTTTTGTTATCAGGGTATTTTAACCTCCTAAATGAACGGAGTACCCCTGATTTTCTCTTCTCTGGGAGACTTTGTGATACAATTGGCATGATTTCTTCGTGTGAGGAAGTAATTTCTCTCAAATGTGAAGCTAACAGGCCTTGTGGATTTTTTTTTTTTAAAGATTTATTTATTTGTGAATACAGAACTGGGGTGCAGGCCAGAGGCTCAGGGGCGGTGAGAGGCTTCACCAGAGACAGAGTGGGGAGCAGAACAGGCAGATCGACAAAGTACACTGCTGAGGGGAGCAGCGGGTGGGTCAGGAGAGGTCTGCCACGCCAGATGGTCACCTCCGAGGCAGGCGGGAATCAAACTCATGAGGAAGCGGCTTTAGATTCTCAGTGCAGTGCTTTAACCTGCAGCGCCACCAGGGAGGGCCAGGCCTTGTGGATTTTTATGGGAAAGTTACTTTTTTTTAAACCATTTGCTTTCCTTTGGGTCATCTTCTCTTCTTTTTCTTTCCTTTCCTTCTTTTGGGTTGAGTGATGCCTTTCACTAAGATTTCCAAACCTTTTAGCAAAAAACTAAACAATAGGCTGTACTTTTCAACTCCTTTATCTCTCTCAGGTAACTTTATTATTCTGCTTGTCAACTTTTTTGAGTTTTATTTATTTATTTACTATTGATTAGACATGCCAGAGGATTAGCTTTCACTCTGTTTACCAAAGAATCAGGTTTAACATTTATTTTTTAATTCTATTATTTTTTAATTAAAATGTTTAAATTCTATGAATTTTTTATTTTTAAAATATGTCAGTGTCTCCCTGCTTTCCTAAAACAGTGGCATGTGCAGAGGTTGATGGCATGAACTCTGGAGCCAAGCTTTCTGCTTCCAATCCTGGCTCCCCTCTCACTAGCTGCAGGACTCCTAACAGATGAAACTGTCATGCCTTTAGGTGGGGAGCAGAGTGGACTAAGGTGGAGACCTAGGGGTGGGGGGGCGGCGCTTCCATTGAGCAAGAGTTATGGTGACCATGCCTGGGGACAAATCCTACAGTGTCAAATATTAATAAGGATGTAAAACAATGGCACTCCACCAGGAAATAAAAAATAAAGATAAAGCTTTATGCCTTAGATATTTCACCTGAAAAATGGGAACAACAATAGAATCCACCTTCAAGGGCTTTTGTGAGGGCTAAATGAATGACTGTGGACTGCTGGGTAGTACTGCACACGCTACGTGTGATGCAAGATTTCTTTCCTTTTTATTATTTTGTGTTGTTACTGAATTTCCTAAGCTGAGTTTTCAGTCTATGTGTCATCAACCCTTATTACTTAATAATACATACACATAAAGCCAGAAGTTTTTTCTACACAATTCCAAACATTTCCCAATTCATCTTCTCATTGTTTTTATTTTGTAATTTTACTTTTGGCTTCTCTTTCTGTCCTGCTAAAGCATTAAACATATCTGATGTGATTTGATCATACCAAAGGCTGGAATTTTCTATTATTGTGTTTAGTCAGGTTCTGTTTACATTTCTACTTAATAAACTTTTTAACTGTGAAAACTCTGTGCCAATGTTAACTCATCAATATGTAGATTTTCTAACCTATTTGCCCTGAGCTATTTTATTTGCAGTTACCTTCACTCTACCTTTTGCTGTCAGTGATTTCTGTTACCTTATAGAGTTTTCACACTTTCACCTGCCCATTTTTTTTTTTAAAGATTTATTTATTTATTCATATGGAACTGGGGTACAGGCCAGAGATGCGGAGGGTGAGAGGATTCACCAGAGACAGAGTGGGGAGCAGAACAGGCAGATCAACGAAGTACACTGCTGAGGGGAGCAGCGGGCAGGTCAGGAGAGGTCTGCCACGTCATGTGGATCTCCTCCGGGGCAGGCGGGGATCGAACTCATGCGAAAGTGGGTTTAGCTTCTCAGTGCTGTGCTTTATCCCGCTGTGCACCAGGGAGGGCCCCTCTTTATGTTATTTTCAACTGGACTAGCTATTGTTCATCTTAGCCTCTCCTCATTTAACAGTCTTTGTTCAGATTCTCAGCACATTTACTCTCCCAAATTTCCACAGATGCTCACTCCCGTGTACCCCAACGCTTTCTCACAGGCTCTGTAATGATTGTGGTGTGAGTGCTCCCTGGTGTGCACCTGGTCAGGTCAGCAGGGGGTCTACCAGGTGACAGATTTCAGTGTTTGGCAACCAGGTTACAGATCTCTCTGTTCTTCCTCAAATGACTGCGTGACAGCCAAATCCCTGACTCTCATGCACTGCTCTGGCCATGTTTAGGTACAAAACTTCCTTTCATTGGTTTCTCAGCTGCTGCCTGACTGTCCACTGGGGCAGGGATCAACCAACTGCTAGCGAAAACAGATGAATGGCTCCTGCACTTTTGAAGGATCGATCAAAAAGCAAACAACTAAGAAGACCCGAGAGAAACACCTGTGGCCACACAAAGTGTAAAACAGCTCTGAGATGGTCTTTTGTGGAGAAAGCTGCAACGGCTGCCTGAGAGGCCTCTTTCCTTCTCCTGCCTGGCTCTGGGAATGGATGGCGTGCATCAAACCTACAAGCACTGCCACTGGTATCCTTCCCACCTGAGCGCCAGCCGATGGTGAATTCATTGGTGCTTTATCTCAGAAGCAAACAACCTATCCCAGACAGAAAGGTACTTGGGAGTGGCTGTGGATGGAGAAGATGGTTGTTTTGGAACCTAGGAGTCAGGATGATGGAAAAAGGGGCTCTCACAGGCTGGTATCTATGACTTGGAGGCAGGCCTATCTTATATCCAGTTTCCATGACGCTGGGTATCTGTGTTCAGTGATACAATGCCTTCCCACTTCCTACTCTTTTTTTGTTTTGTAGGAAGAATTCTATTATGGGCCCTTCCTGGTGGTGCAGCAGGTTAAAGCACAGCACTAAGAAACTAAAGCGACTTCGGCATGAGTTCAATCCCTGCCCCGGACGTGACCCATATGGAGCGGCAGACCTCTCCTGGCCCGCCCTCTGCTCCACTCAGCAGTGTACTTCGTCGATCTGCCTGTTCTGCTCCCTACTCTCTTTGGTGAATCCTCTCACTGGCCTGTACCTCTGGTCTGTACCCCAGTTCTGTATGTATATATAAATACAAATCTTAAAAAAAAAAAGGATTCCATTACAAAAACGAGTGACAAGATCACTGAGTTAAGGTTTAAAGGTAATCAGTTAATGTAACAATTTATTAATATATGGAGCCAAAAAGCATAATCATTCATGTTACCTGTAATCATGCACAATTTTCCTCGCGTTCTCTAGTTGTTCATTGGTTAACAGGATATTCCTGGGATCGGTGACAGTGAAGAAGTGATTGGCTCTTCCAACAAAAGTGCTTTGATCCCATCGAGGTTCCCTGATGTTAATATTTAATGGAAGTTCCCCGGACATCGTTCTGGACTAAGGGAGATAAAAAAAGACAAGCCCCGTTAACACTTACAATGTTAGGTGCAGCTTTACAACTGAGAAGCTTTATAGCTGCAGTAACCTTCAAGTACAGTGTATGTACATTCCTATTTTGTTATAATTAGCAGGACAATCTAAATCCAAAGCTAACTATGTTCATACGTCTCAATAGATGTTAACAAAATTTTAGTAATTTCCCACATTTTTCTCCTCATTAGTATACAGTTTTTCATCATTTCTTATTTTTAGATACCTAGAAATACTCTAGGGGAATAAAAGCAGATAGAAGAAGCTAAAAATAACAGCTAAAATAAAGCCTAAAGTTTGAAGCCCTTTTTCTGGGTGAAACAAGCAATGTTGAATTCCTACTGCCTGCCTCTCAACATCTATTATCTCTACCAGTAGAAGTGACTAGTTGTGCAAAAGGGGCTTCAATGCTAAAAATTGTACACTTAAAAAAAAAAAGATTCAGGTTCATTCAGCCTTGTTTAGTATGTGACCCATCGAGTAAAAATGAAAAATCACATTCTTCAATCTAATCAGGACATAATGGGGAAAAGTGGTCTGACAGCTTGGTGAACAGGAACAACACTGCAACATCTAATTTTCCTCATAAAATATCCATTTTCTGGCTTCAAACCATTACTTTTCTCTAAAAGTAACTAATTTCTTTCTCTGCATAAGACATCCTTATTTTTAGAACTGCATTGTACTGTTGGAACACATGCTTATTGTGGTATTCTGAATAATATCAGCTTACTGTAGAAAATAAAAAAAGAAACAAAATCTCCTATAATTTAGCCACACTGAAGGGACCATTATTAATGTTTTGGTACAGTTCCTTGCAGATATTTTCTATACACATATTATCATATAATTACAAAAATAAAGCTGTTATCATGCTCCAGGCGCTCAGGTCATATGTACTTTATCAGAATCTCAAATGAATCCAGAGCATGGCTCACTGCTTCAATACGGGGCAGGTGAGCCACACAGGTGTGGAGAGAGAATGCCCAACTGCGGCCCCAGAGGCACCCAGCAGAGAGTGGCAGAGCAGCAGGTGGGGTCCAGTGCAGCAGGGAGGTGGGTGGAAGAGCGGACATCCCAGAGCTGCTGTGGATGGAGCCAACAGGATTTTCTGACAGCTCGGATGAGGGCTGTGAGAGAAAGCAAACGCACGACTCCAGAAGAGTTGGTTGGCAGAGGAGCAAGTCCAAGGAGAAACAGCCAGTTGAGGTTTGAGATGCCTAAGAGACATCTGTCTGACAGTGGCCATACGCTGGAGTCAGGAGCTGTGGGCAGAGGGTGAATCGGGGCATAAACCTGATCACTGGGACCAAGTGAAGAGGTCTGAGGATGGCAGTGCTCAGAGATGGGAACAGCAAAGGAGGCTGAGAGGGCGGACTGCCGTGATGTCCCGGAAGCAAGGAGAGTGAGTCTACTGGGGTCCCGTGGGCCAGGAGAAAGAGCCCATCAGCAGTTGGTCACTCCCAAATAGGAGGGGGGATCTAAATCCGAGGGGGCCAGTCTAGCAAAGGGGTTACTGTAAAGATAATTGCTTTTGCAAGTCCTAAAAAGTCTAAGCAACAATGCTCAGAGGAGTAAATGGTCCTTTCTCTGGAACTGCTTATTCCCACAAAGCCACTGGTATAGATGGATGGGTCCTCACCAGAGGACTACATTGAAACCATCTGGAGAGCTTCTAGCGATCTGGAGCCAGTAGGTAGGTCCAGGGTAAGGCCAGCCATGTGATTCTGCAAGCGTGATGGTTGGACCTCCATTTGTCTGGGCACCAGGTTGTGCCTCTGCATGAACTGGGGAGTTGGTTCCTTCCCTGTAGCTTTCTCTGCATCTTCTTTCAAGCCTGTGTAACCTACGATGGTCTCTCATGATATCAGGTGCCAATCTGCCTCATAAAAAATATTGCGTGCCAAAATCATCTTTCTTCCCTTTGAAGTATAATTCTCTATCACTGGTTTGCCCTTGCACTCTGATATGTAATAAAAAAGATTAAAATGTAGTTTTCATAGGATGCTAGTTCTTAGTAAGAAACTATCTCCTACACTTAGGTCAAGTTGCTACAAACATGATCTCATTTTAAAAAGTGTTACTTTATCAATAAAAATGTTCTAATTGTGGGCCCTCCCTGGTGGCTCAGCGGGTTATAGCACAGCACTGAGAAGCTAAAGTCACTTCCGCAAGAGTTCGATTCTGCCTGCCTGGAAGGTGATCCACAGGGAGCAGCAGACCTCTCCTGACCCGCCCACTGCTCCCCTCAGCAGTGTACTTCGTTGATCTGCCTGTTCTGCTCCCCACTCTGTCTCTGGTGAATCCTCTCACCCTCCGCATCTCTGGGCCTGTACATCAGTTCTATATGAATAAATCTTAAAAAAAAAATGTTTTAACTGCACAAGAGCCTAAAATCTTAAAAATGATCTACCCAACATGGGAATCAGACAGACAAGGAACCTTGAGGCCCAGTAGGGGGAGTCACTCACCCAGGTTGCATGATCGGTGCTGGGTAGAAGATTCTACCCAAAGTACAACTGGACTCCTGGACATGGTCTGTCAGCTCACTCACTTTCTCGACTATTCTCTTAGCTGTTTTTCCCCCAATGAATATCAAGAAATGCTTGTGCAGAACTGGTATCTTTGAGGATGTCTTTCCTTCCTTTAAATGACAAAGCTCTCTAATGACCAAACCCCATGGTGGCTATGGCACGGATGGGCAAGAACAACACTGCAGGCCTCATAAAGTCTCTTCTTTAACAGGCAAGGACAAAAGATGGGGAGAGGAACCCAAGATTTCTGGAGTTTCTGTTACCTACAGGGTTATTGGGCTAGATGGTTGCCAAAGAGCACATGTACCTACTCCGTGCCAGTGGCAGGGCACCTACTCAGTTCTCACAACCATGTGCTTTGCATATATAGTGGGCCCTTGAATGACACGAGTTTGGATGCCTGGGACTACTTACATGAGGACTTTTTCCTGTATGTAGGCTCTGCATTCAGTGTCAACCAACTTTGGGTTTCATGTGGCTAATTTGTAATGCAGAACAGGAAATACTGAGGGCCACCTCAAAGGGATTTGAGCATCTGTAGATGTAGGAATGGGAGGTGTGTTCTAAAACCAACCCCATGGGGGTACCAAGGATACCTGTAAAGGATTTAAAGGATTTTCTACTGCATGGGGCTAGGTGCTACCTACTCCCGTCGTTCAAGGGCCAACTTTGCAATGCATGTTTTACAGGAGAGGAAAAGAATGATCTTGGGATGACACAGCCACCCCTTATCCATCCAGCAGTGGAGGAAGCAGGTGAGGACCCCAGGTCGAGTATTCCAAAGCTACAACATTCTCTGCTCAGTATGGACTGTGGGAGCCAGGTTGGCTTCCCAAAGATGTCCACGTCCCAATCCCTGTGAACATGCTACCTTACTTTGCTGATGGGATTAGTTAAAGATGCTGAGAGTGAGAAGCTATCCTGGATTATTTGGGTGGGCCTGACAAATCACAAGGGTTCCTATAGGAGAAAGGGAAAGAATAGGGCAGAAGGCGGATGTGAGGACCAGCAGAGGCTGAAGTGTTGCAGGGCTAAGCCAAAGAACGTGGCAGCCTCTGGCAGCTGGTGCAGGCAAGCAGACAGATTCTCCCTGGGCGCCTCCAGGAGCAGCACAGGCTCATTTTGAATTTCCAACCCGCAGAGCCATAAGTAATATGTTGTTTTAGGCTAAAAATCTGTGGTAATTGGCTCTCCCTGGTGGCGCAGCGGGTTAAAGCACAGCACTAAGAAGCTTAAGCCACTTCCGCATGAGTTCGATTCCCGCCTGCCCCAGAGGTGACCACTTGGCGCGGCAGACCTCTCCTGACCTGCCCGCTGCTCCCCTCAGCAGTGTACTTCGTCAGTCGGCCTGTTCTGCTCCCCACTCTGTCTCTGGTGAATCCTCTCACCACCCCTGCACCTCTGGTCTGTACCCCTGTTCTGTACTGTATGCACAGATAAATAAATCTTTCAAATAATAATAATAAATCTGCGGTAATTTGTTGCAGTTGGAATAAGAAACAAATATAGTGCTTCTTCCCCACTTAAAAAGGGATTTGGGAAAACATTACAAACTGATATAAGATATACCGACTAACCTGTCCCCACCTCCTCAAGTTTCAAAAACTTAGGCAGATCTAGAACTTGATATTAACATTCTTACAAAGACAGCGATCACTAACCAGATAAAATTTTACTATCCACAATGATTCCCATGTTTCAGTTAGACATTCTTCACACATGAACCTTCAAGAACAGGAATAGTTTTCACTCTGTCTACTCCAAGCAAATTAAGCAGTCTCTATAATTCAGAGTTCTACTTAAAACAAAACAAAACCCAGAAAACCTTATTTCCTAGTCCACATTGAAGAAACGGCGGTCCCCTCCCCCCCATTTACTGCTGCCAAAGGTGACTGGTTTCCTTTCTGATGACTGAGTTGTGGGCCTGGGAACAGCTCTTGACTCATATGGGGGGAGGAGCATAAGCTGAAGGGGCACCTGGAACAGGCAGCCCAAGACCCCTCTAATCAGTTACCCAGGCTAGATCAGCTCATGACCTGGCAGTGGCCTCAGGGAACAAAAGCACTCCATGGCCTTCACTGTCACGCAGAGTCTTGGGCACATCCCCACTCGGTCCTCCAGGGTGCTTGGCTGGGCTACAGTACCCCAGGCACCCACGGAATGGTGGTAGCATCGGGCAGGAGGGTCCACCCTGCACTCTTGATACTGCTCATCAGTCAGCTGTGAGGCAAGAACAGACATGGGCACCTCGGTGGGGTGAAAGCTAAGTCGTTGGTGTGTGGGAAGGGAAAAAATAAATGGATTTGGTTGCTCAAAAGTCTGGTTTAGATATAAAGAGCACAGTTATCCTGTAGCTTGTGGTCCCTGAAACCTGAGCTGCCACCCAACAACTCCTCCCCAAGATTAAAGTTGGGGTGGAAAGAAACAGGGGCA